ACGGCAGATTATACAGAAGACTGAAGAGTACAAACAACCCCTGTGCCTGATGTTTCATAATTAAAAAAACCGGACAAGTGCGAGTCGGCCTCACCCGCCGAGGGTTTCGTAGCGACGCAACATTTTTTTTTACGTTAACTTAGAAGTGTGATTTTTTCACAGCTTCAAGGGATTGTAGACTTGAGTAGGTATTTGTTTTCAATTTTGAGCCGATGCCTCTACGCGTTCCCAAGATAAAAAAGGGTCTTGGAAGACAGACAGATAAACTGTCGTATCTTTTTTGTACGTTAACATTGAAGTGTGATTTTTTCATAGCTGCCAATTGGAAATCGGGTGCCGCAACATCACCCTGACTCTCGGCGCGCATTGAGGACCGAAGCCTCACAATGGGTGTCAGTGACCGGTGAAGGAGTATTGTCTGGTTTTTACCGCTCTGGTAGCGGTCTGTTCAATACATCGAACTTTAAAGCTGGGTGAAATGAGCGGGGAGGAGTCCTGGATACCTTCTTCATGCTCCTCCAGTGGCTAAAGGATGCGTAATTCCCAGACAAAAAAAAAGGTGGAGGCTGCTTCCCCAGACGGTTACTCCGTTGTTCTCTACCTCACTTAAAATTATATGAAACGATGACGAAGCGATTGTTAATGGCTGCACCATCGCTTCCTCTATATTTGTGAAGAGTTGTCAATTTCATGCTTGTATCCCTCAGTCCATTCTGCGTCTATGGATATGTCTTAAGATAACGAAATCCCAGATAATAAGGCAATTGCGATGACATTGCTCAATCTTACCGTTAACAATTATTTTTCTGGCACTTCATGGTCACTAACCTTTTATTTTGTGTCAGGAAAATACATGATGTAACCGTTACTCACCAGGAAACTTGCATGCACAGGCTGCATCCAGCCCCCAAGGCTCGATGAATATCAGGGCCATTCCCGGTAAAAACCAGATAATTTCTGCACCTATCATCCGGCATGCACTATGAGGACCGAAGTCCCCCTAATGCACGCCAGGTGAGCGGGGGTTGTAGCGGGATCATGCGTTAGCATTATGCCGACGCCCCCACTGGTGATTGTTCGTGTCCAGACCCACCCACACAACACTCTCCTAACCTGACCCAGTGTGAACCCAAAAACCCTGAAACGTTTACAATAAGCCAACGATTCTTTTCGCAATCTTGGGGCGACTCGAGTTTACTGTTTTCAGCAAGATTGAAAAATGTCATCGCCGTTACGTTAGTATCCGCGTTTTCGCAAAATCTCTAGGATTTTTCGCGCCAATTCAATTTATATCAAATCATTCTACGACTGCCGGCCCGGGTCGGCTATTAATAATTAAACCTGAAATGGTTATGAAATCGTAAGTACGATTTACGTTTTTTATAGATTCATCATGTGAGTAGTTCCTATAGAATATCGGCTATTAGCGTCCAACAAAAACGTGTTACGTAACTAATTACAGTATAATGTCACCCAGGAAAAATGTAGCCTGCTTCTAATAATAAAGGTTCCCCCCAAATCGTTCAAAGTTTCAACTTTATATATGTATTAATAGAATAGGCAGACCCGTCTTTCCCAGTGGGCACTTTGGGCAAGTGCCCAGGGCCCCGCGATCGATAGGGGCACCTCTCAAATCAAATACAAAGTTCCAGTTAAATCACCAAACGGGGGTCTTAAGGGCCCCATTATCCTAATATGCCCAGGGCCCCCAATAGGTCAAAGACGGCACTGAGAATAGGTGCACCAAAAAGATAAAAAAACATACCTTTAATCAAAAGTCAGTAAGCACAGAGCTAAGTATCTTTATATATGATAGGGCAAAGAAAAGACAAGAAAAGAAAAAACAAGTTAAAATAAAATTACTGTACGAGACGACCGAAACAATAAGGACGAAACTTATAATGTGCAGTGAGACGTCTTAAACAGTACCCCTAGCACGAACCATCATCGATGCCAGCAACGGCACAAAGTAGGTAAGTAACGAGAACTTAAAATCAGTACACATTTGACAATGACATTTCGGATTTGCAAACGATATGAATTCGATGATGGTTCGTGCTAGGTTCATTTGTAATCAATTATGAAAAGTGAATCTTGTGTTATTCGTCTAGATATTAGTTTTGTATAACGGATTCGCGTATTAGTTTTATAAGATAGTTTGTAATTTCGATAATATATAATTTTTAATGTTTGGAACTCACATAGTAAAACTATGTTTAGCACCCCCTCTTCAGACAATTGTTAGCGTATACAAAGGCGAGTCATTTATTTCTGTGTATGTACTTAAACGAAGTACCTATCCTTTTTGTGTGAAAGCTTGTATTTCTTTGTAGTGTAAAAGAGTATTTATTGTATGTGAAAAGGTCGCGTTTTCTATGCACGTGAAAAACAAGCGTGCGTGCCTGATTAATGGAAAACTAATGCTTTAAAATGTAGAATAGTGTATTCAAGACGTTTGTGAAATCGTATACTATCAATATCGCGTTGTGGCAACCCTAACCTAAAAATGGGAATCTAAAATAAAGTCATTTTTAGGGTTCCGTGCCTTAAAAGGAAAAAACGAAACCCTTATAAGATCACTTTGTTGTCCGTCTCCCTGCGCGCCTGACAATATCCTTTATCTTAGGAACGCGTAGAATATCATTGGCGTGGAGGCATCAAATCAAAATTGAAAACATATACCTACTCAAGTCTACAATCCCTTGAAGCTGTAAAAAAATCACACTTCTAAGTTAACGCACAAAAACGATACGACAGTTTATCTGTCTGTCTTTCAAGCAAGACCCTTTTTTTCTCAGGAACGCGAGGAGGCATCGAGTCAAAATTGAAAACATACACCTACTCAAGTCTACAATCCCTTGAAGCTGTGAAAAAATCACACTTCTAAGTTAACGTAAAAAGAAATATTGCGTCGCTACAAATTTGTACGAAACCCTCGGCGGGTGAGTCCGACTCGCACTTGTCCGGGTTTTTTTTATTATGAAACATCTAAAATGTATGTCTTTCATCTGAGTGATATGCTTTACCAAATTGGCACAAATTCGGGGATTTGAATTTTGTTAATTTTATGTAATTACTTACCTGATAAAATACCTTATCATATCAGTAATTATAGTACTAAATATTTATGATAAAATACCTAAAATATGAATAATTGTGAAGAGTGCAAGATTAATCGCTAATTTATTTCTCATTACATTACAAGAACATAGCACTACAAAATATTGTTAGATTGCTACAATCTGATAATAAAGTGGAGTAAGCTGACTTCTCTAATTTGATTTAATGCCTGGGGTTGCCAGATGGTCGGATATAATTTCAACCTAGGTTCTATTTATTTATTTAAGTCTATGATCTATTTATGTCTTTTATCTGAAGAGAGATGTAGCTTCTAATCACAATTATTTATCAAGATGATATAAAAAAAATGTTTCTTCAGCCAGCCTAATAATATCCCCTATGCTGGGGCACAGGCCTTCTCTATGCATGGAATGGAGAGACTGGGTCATGACCCACCACATAGGCCTATTGCGAATTGTTATTCAATAGTTTAGGTAGTTTATACATTAACAATACGTATAGGTAGATTTTTTTTTAATACTAAATAACAAATAAACTTTACGGAATATGAAATGTTAATAAGCTTTAATCAAGTTGACTTACAGAAAGCTTTTTTGAACCGTCCTAATATATATTTTTTCCTACCATCATTTAACTGACAAATAGAGAAAATAATTGTTGATAAATAATTGTAATTAGAGCACACGAGCAGATGATTTACATAATGTAAAGTGATCACCGTAGCCCATAAACAGCTGCTACACAAGGAGTGATACCCAAATGCGATGCTGGCCTTTAAAAATGGAGTACCTAAGCTCTTTTCTTGAAGGTTTTCGGGTCTTATTGGTTGGGAAACACTGCAGGCGACAATATATTCCACAGTTTTGTCGTACGTGGTAAAAAAGTCTACAAATTTCGGACGGTAGTGGATAGCCACACATTAAGATGATGGGGATGAAATTAATTGAAATTATGTTAACATATTCCTATTAAACAAAGAATGTGTATTGATTTTAATAAAGATATTTTGGATGGTCATAAACTTGTTGAAGTAATTAGTAAATACACTTTATTGCACTATAAAACAGTTTATAATAACCATAAACTGAAACAAGAATACTTAAGCACCCTTATTGCTGAACGTATCTACAGGCAGCCTTTGGCTAAGCTAAACGAAACTATTTCATTTAAAGACAAACATTATGTAAGCCATTATTGTATTGTAAAAAACGTAGTATTTTGAAGAGAAACAATAAAAAAAGTATTGGACTTTTGTCCCAACTTTCTTTTATCATTCGTAGAATAAAAATTTAAAAGATTTTTCATAATATCAGATTATCTATCTTTAGTTATTCAACAATTATTTTCGAATTAATAGAATTGAAATAGAAATAAAAGAAATGCGCAAGAACTAAAATTGTAGGACAATTTAATACGGTCTCTTTAGTAATGAACGTCTTTGTAATTTACAGTCTGGTTAGTGTAAGTATCAAAAGATACCTTTGAAAATAAAAGATAAGTCGAAACTCTTTTGTGATTTATGAAATGTATTTGAATATAATCAAAACTACACTACATTGTCTTTTTAATTCAATTCCTGCGTAATTCTAAAGTTCGTTTACATGGACCATATACATTTTTCAGCGTGCGCAATAAAGTAGATAGGTCCCATTGTTTTTCAATGTTTTCTATCTTAGAATTATGGAAAATATACAAAGACAATAAGAGGGATATTTAATTTATATAATATACTGGTTAATAACAGATAAATCTATTAATGTTAACTGATTTTAAACGTTCAATGATTGATTAGAATAGAATTTGCTAACAGAATCCATAGTTGAGCATTTGCCATTCAACAGATGTTAGCTGATGAAAGAAATAAGATTTACGATCAAAGGCGCCGTATAAAGAGGCGATAATAGAAAAGGGGGACTTACATAAACAGAGCAACTTGGTAACAGCAGCCGTAGACAGGAACATCGTTGGGAAGTCGTATCCTAATACGCGTTTTAGCATTTCGTTACTAAGCGACACACTCTTACAGTTGAAACGCGTAATTATTTAGCTTATACCATTTGATACGGAGCTATTTCGGTTTTCAGTCACAGTGGATAGTGATAAACATCTATGTGGGATATCTAGTGGGAATGGCTGTTTTACAGCCGCTAAGCGTCTCCGTTGGCGGACATGTTGTGACGTCACCGAACTGAAAATCAATCATATCGCGCTTGCGCAACTTTTCCCCTTGGCCCATTTTGTTGTGTGACCATGACGGGTCGCATCCAGTTTTATAGCCTCCTCAAGATGGCTGATGGCGTTTTTTTATGAATGAACATATTCGGCTCCATTCATTTAATCGCCTAAAGTCAAGGGTAATTTTTTCCCACTAAGTACCTGCTTGGAAATTCTTTAAGAGGCTTAAAATTGCGATGCTCCTTGGAGCGGACCAAAAGTTAATCGCAGAAGTGTCGATTTGGGAATTATATTTTTGTACTAAGCTTGACTTGAAACGCGATTTCGCGCCCGCGTTTTTTAAAATATCCCTATAACGCATTAATTGTGTATTTAAAAAAACAGTAAATCTAGCAGTACTTACGTGGACAAACACGCAAAAACTACTGAACAGATTCGAATGAAATTTGGTACACATATGGTTTATGAGTTGGACTGAGACTTGGGATACTTTTTACCCCGATACAAAATCAGGTTCCTGTGGTTTTCGTGGCAAAGCAAAGTTAACGCGGACGATGTCGCGGGGCGCCATTAGTCATTATTATAATTAAGTAGTTACACTTATTTGATCCAAATTTTTATAAACAGAATAATTCGCAACCTTGGGGTAAAAAGGGAGTAAAGCCAAAACCCTACTTTACAGGACGAGTAAAAAACAAAATTCTTCAAGATAACTCTGTTTAAACGTTGAAGATATCAGACCTGTAAAACCATTTTGACGTGACAACGTCTTAAATTAGGTTGCGGCTGGGAGTCACTTATGAAAAAGTGTAACGCTCGGTAACGTTACGATGAGTCTCTCGTGTTAAGTTTAAGTTTACATGTACAATGTTTTAGTAAACAAAATATATTTCTATAGTTAAAATTTGTGCAATTCTTATTTTCATTCAATTCCTTGTTCCTATTGTGCAATTTAATTATATTCATATCAATAAATATTCTACCGAGAAAAAGACGTTGTCACGTAAAATCTTCGCCCGTAAAACCGACTTTACAGGCAACCATTTTTTTGATTGCGTCACAGACCAATACATCAGGTGGAAAATTCTGAATATAAGTGCATTCATTACTCATTTTGGGTGAAATGGTTTTAAACGACCTTCTAACCCAAGGTGTCGAATATATGTGTAATCCACGTCTTATTCCAGCAAATATATACTTATGTCAAATTTGGTCCAAATCCGTGCAGCCGTTTATATGCATGATCCGAGTTATAAATATTCAAATAAGTAACTTTCACATCTATAATATTACTATACTTATTCCGCGAGTTCTTCTGCATAGACGACTTTTACTGGAGCTAAAACAAGTACCAATAATTCCAGCGCGGCCCAGTAAGTTTTACCTTCATTATTTAGAAACCAAAAGAAAATAGTATCTTCATTGACATTTAACGTTAAAGTAACGTTTTAAACGTCAGAAAAGCTATATAATTTAACAGTATCTTATAAAGTTATGCAGCGTTGAGCTGAGTAAGCACCGCTTCAATTAACATTATATATGCTACGTCTACATCACGATTCGAACGCTCACTTTGGATTGCGTTAAAAATTCATGATTGAAAGGGTCTTAGGAAAAGGTTTATACCTAACTGATATATTTATGAGAACTTTTCGTTCGCAGATTACTTACATACAGTCTATCAGGTTCGGCTTCACATGGAGTACTGTTCTCATCTTTAGGCGGAGGCACCCCAGTACCAACTTCTCCCTCTGGATCGCATCCAGCGCTGAGCTCCGCGAATCGTCGACAGCCAGAACCTTTCTGATATACTTGATCCTTTGGCTCGCGTAGAGATGTAGCTTCGCTTTGTATCTTCTACCACATTTATCACGGGGAGTATTCAGAGCAGTTCTTCTGATGAATTCCAGCTGCTGCTTTTCCCCGCGCACATCTATCAAGTTCGGCTGCACATGGAGTACTGTTCTCATCTTTAGGCGGAGGCACCCCAGTACCAGTTCTCCCTCTGGATCGCATCCAATGCTGAGCGACGCGAATGGTCGACGACCAGAACCTTTGCGATAAGCTCGATCCTTTGACTTGCGTAGAGGTGTAGCTTCGCTTTGTTTCTTCTACCGCTGTTTGGGACTCCTTTTACGTTATAGTTTTAATATATTCTTTTTTATGAACATAATCAATTGTCAATATTTTTACTGTCAAAAATTCACTCATTATATTTAAACGTCTACTTAAACCGTCTTCTTTATTTTATTTAATTTACCACTACAAAAATAATGGCGACCGTTGAAACGACTAAAAAGGACCGTAAGATTTGCCGCATGGCCTTCACTATCACGGGCAAAAAAGTGGAAGAGGTCATTTGTAAAGAGAAACCAGACCTCGAACTCAAAGGTAGTCCTACAAAACAAAAGTGGAGCAGCTTTTCCAGATTGATGCTACCTTGAAAGCAGCCGTTTTATCGGACGATAGCATTTCCGAAGAAAACATGCTAGAAATTTTAGACATTGACGAAACAACTAAACGGGAGATGCATTACAATGTCATCAAATCCATATGTGAGTCGATTTTATCATCTTATTATCGTAACCATGACATTGCCGATGATTTAAATGGAAATGGAAGCGAGGCTCAGAAAAATATTTCTAAGATAAAGTTTCAGTTATCGACTCTAGAATTAAAAGTTTTTGACGGCAAAATAGAAAACTGGATCGGGTTTTGGGATCAGTTTCGGAAGATACACGAAGATGCGTCTATTGATGATGACGACAAGTTTCAATATTTATTGAAAGCTACGGAACCTGGCACGTCAGCGAGAGAATTAGTGGAGAGCTTTCCCCCAAGTGGTATAAATTATTATAAAGCCATCAGACTTGAAAGCAAGATTTGCCCAAGATAAATTCATTATCCGCCACTACATAAGAAAACTTTTGGAGCTTGTACTGTGCCAATCAAGTAATAGGGAAAATTTTGATTTCCGTAGCCACTACGATTAGTTAAATACGTACTTGAGAGCTTTGAAGTCACTCGGTCTGACCAGCGACAAATATGCGGAAATGCTCTATCCTTTAATTGAGTCGGCTATCCCTGATGATACGCTAACAGCATGGGAACGTTCTCATAAAAACTTCGATGGAGACGAGCTTCAGCAGCTTATAAATTTTTTGAAGTCTGAAGGCGAATGTGAAGAGAAGTTACAGATAGCTAGAAGCAGTTTCAACGAAAGAGTGCCGTATACCAGACCACCCACGGCATGTACAGTAGTAGCTGACAAAAAGCCAACCAATAAAAAATATTACAGTATTTATGAAGAAGCTTCTACATCAGCTGCCGAAAAGGTTTTGCCCTGTATCTGGTGTGAGAAAACCACACGTAAGAGTTCGGAATGCATAAAAACCAAATAAATGACTCAAGACCAGAAAAAAAAATCTGAATTCCAAAAGAGCATATCTGATTTGCCTTAAAATCGGGCATTACGCAAATAACTGCCATAGTTACCCAAAATGTACATATTGCACGAAAAGGCATACGTTCGTCATGTGTCCTAACATTAATTTTCAACCGCGAAAATTGCCCGTACCAACGTCAAATAACTCGTAAGATATTGATAATAATGCAGTTGAAATGAAGACTATTTTGCATTCTTCGACTATACTTCAGCTGAAAACGGAGATGATAGTCATATTTTGAATGTAGGTGATGTGGTCTTAGTAGAGACACGGAGTAAACATTTTCGTTGGCTGCTAGGGCGCGTAGTAGAGTTGCACAAAGGACGAGATGATACGTGTCGTGTAGCCACAGTTACTGCAACCGGGGTACTTAAACGGAGCGTTACTAAAATATATCCGCTGGAAATTACATAACGCTCGTATTTATTTGTTTATATTTTTATGGTTGTATGTTCTATTATTATTTAATGAAATTTTGTTTTTTTTTGTCCCTTGTATATTCTTTTTTATGAACATAATCAATTGTCAATATTTTTACTGTCAAAAATTCACTCATATGTAAACGTCTACTTAAACCGTCATCTTTATTTTATTTAATTTAAACCACAACAACCGCATTTATCACGGGGAGTATTCAGAGCAGTTCTTCTGATGAATTCCAGCTGCTGCTTTTCCCCGCGCACAATTATCAGGTTCGGCTGCACATGGAGTACTGTTCTCATCTTTAGGCGGAGGCACCCCAGTACCAGTTCTCCCTCTGGATCGCATCCAAAGCTGAGCGACGCGAATCGTCGACGACCAGAACCTTACCGATAAGCTTGATCCTTTGGCTTGCGTAGAGATGTAGATTCGCATTGTATCTTCTACCACAATTATCACGGGGAGTATTTAGAGCAGTTCTTCTGATAAATTCCAGCTGCTGCTTTTCGCGACAACAACTTCATCCCCATCATGTGGAGTAGTTATCCACAACCATACGATATTGTCGAAATCTTTTACCATGTACGTCAAAATTGTGGAAAACATTGTCGCCAGCAATGTTTCCAGACCAATACGAGCGGAAAACCTTTAAAACAATACCCTCACTGCGCATCGCGTTTCACGCTGCTTGTCGCGAAGTCGGGTAAAAAGAGCATTCTCCTTCCATAAAGGCCGGCATCACTTATTTATTAGATACTCCTGGTGTTGCAGATGTCTATGGGTGAGCCGCAAGCTCGTATGCTGTAATATAAAAAAATATCTGAGTGTTATTTCATCATCAGCCTATTAACGTTCCCACTGCAAGGGCACTGGCCTACCCCATGGATGGAATAGGGAGACTGGGCGGATTAGTGGATGCTAAAGAATGCATATGCAGCCAGGACCAACCGCTTAAAGTGCCTTCCTAATCACGGAGGAGCTCGAGATAGTTTTTGGTCACCCATTCAATGACCGACCGTTGCGAAAGTTGCTTAACTTTCACGATCGCAGGCCGCTAACCACCTGCGCCATCGAGCTCCTCAGTTTTACCTGTGATCTACTTCTTCCCAGACACGCTCCAATTTCAGCGGAAAATCATATTCCACTTCTCTTATACATTTAAACATTAACTTGAAGTTTAGAAAAATATCGGCAGAGATATGACATACTGAATACATCGGAGCGTTGCTGTGACACATGTATCACAGCAACGCACCTATGTAGTATCTCTCTCACTCAGACCAAATAAAAAGTAAAGACGGAGTCTGCCGAACCAAAAAGTGAAGCCGGTTTTTTATGTATGTAGTGCATTAGCCAGTGTTACCATAGTCATATAAAACACCCCAATATTAGAAAAATGTAATAACGTTATTCCATAACGTTATTAATAACGTTATAAAATATTAGAAAAAGATATCGTAAGCTTATTCTCTAAACCTCTCGTGAGCCAAAGGTCATGCGCCGTTCTCACCTACAAGTGCCGGACTTCTTTATGGACCGCCCGCCCGCTGGGTGGGAACGATTGCATTGTTCTGCCGATTTCTCTGTTATTTTGTAAAAATACCCTTCACAAACGTATATTTGGATTCTCCATAAAATTTTCAATAAAACAGTGTGTACACAATGCGTCATGTCTATAATTTATTTTAATTACATTATGGTAAACTCAGGAAAGATAAAAAAGTCGTTTAAATAGGTAAAATGAGGTATATTTTCAAAATTTGTAAATTATAAATCCAGGTTTTTGTACATATAGAATGTTCTAAATATAAATGAATGTATATAATAACTTACCAAATACAATTATAAAATATAACACGCAACAGAAAAAAAAGGGTCGTGTGATTCAAGTGTTGATAAAAACAAATGCGAGATCCAAGTGCCTTGATTTATGTGTTGACGTTTAATTATGTTGGATTGTTTATTTTACTTTAGTTACAAGTCTCGGATGGAATAGGTTTTTTCATTTTATAGTTTCAAGCACTCGCAACAAGGCACTTGAAATCGCTACCAAATCAGTCATCTCAACTTTATGTCGATAAAACGAAAAGCATATACAAATGTTGATAAACCGTTTCTTTTATTAAAATGTACATGAAATTTTCTATAGAATACACAAAATATAATCACTAGTTCCTATACAAGAACATAATAAAATAAATCCACAAACATCGCGAATTTTGGGTCAAAAAGGCCATTAAAAAGTAGATGCATCTTAAAACGGTGTGCACATTAGATGAGGCATTTTTCTAGTGTGCACAGTTGCGGTCAAGGTTGAGTTTAAAATTAGCTAAGTACCAAATTAACATTATTTTTACTATTGTACTAATACTTTTAATGAACAATGATACTTAATTCAAGTAAGTTCGCTTTAATTTAGTAGCATAATACGGCAAAATGGGGAAACTGAAGCAAGTAGTTCTACCACAACATGATAGATGGTGGGACTTGTACAAACAATAAGCAGTTAGCAAATAAATTATTGGAATCTTTAAAATATAAATTAATCTAAGTAACCATAATAATAGTAAAAAAAAATACCTTTGGATATGCATTTTGTTTTACACGACGTAACCCTTTTGTTGTGTAGTACAAATCGTCGCTCTGAAAATGAGTCAAACAAACCACGCTGCGGGAAGCTGGTTGCCACAATGGTTCATTTCTACTCTTACGAATGACTGCAATCCACTTCTCTTTTAGATATTGATCTCGATTAGGAAATCTTAAAAAAAACGTATAATATATAATATGTATTACATCCCAAAAAAATTATACGAATACATAAAGAAAAAAGATGTTTCGTGTAATTGTTTATCCATGCATTACAATATTCGAATAATATAAAAGTATGCCACACAATGTATTTAATAAAATAACGTTACGTTATATTTCACGCTACCCAACAAAAGGGTACAACTGTAACGAATAATCATGGCAACATTTTGTTCAGGTTTTGTTTACAAAGCGACAACCTCAAATTTGATTTTGATTAATTGAAAATAACTTTACTTACGTATGAAATGTAATTCCATCCTGTTTTTTATTCTTGGAAGATTGGTTTTTACACGTTTTCACTACACAATTCGGCATTTTCTCTAATAAATATTGTTATTTATTATTACGTCACACTCCGCGCGTCGGGATAGCTCGACTGAGAAGCCAAGGCGTAGTTTCGTTGCATGTGTGTGCGTGTAACTGTGTATGTACACGGCGAGGCGTAGTTTTATCGGCTTCACTTTTTGGTTCGGCAGACTCCGTCTATACTTTTTATTTGGTCTGAGCTCTCTCATAGTGACATTATGTATCTCTTTTAATTATAAGTTGATTACATTAGTTGTGTAAACAGCACTTGTATTAATCGAACATTTATGCTGATGCGTATTTTGATTGATATCCTGTTAGTGCTCCGATTGCACTCCTGCTTAGTGCTCCAAAGATCCTGGTTGCAATCTTTTTAAAACTATCTACTATTTTCTCGCTCATGAAAAGTACTATGGCTATTCATTTAATGTAAACATACATTAAGAGATTCATATACTAATAGTTGATCGCAGACTGTTCACACTGCCCGGGCCCACGAGAACTACCCCCACTAGTTTGTTGCTGAGCTACAAAAGCCATCAATGATAATACTCCCTCAGCGATGCTCACTTGCCTCACAACGGGCTCCCGTACATCTTTGCTCAGTGTTATTTCCACGAGCGAGTGGCGCGAGTAATCGTCCGTCATACTCGCACACCGCTTATTTTCCAACGATTCAATTATCGGAACCACAGACTAACTTCTCACTGCTCGCCAACTCGTTTATAGTTTCTAGCTCTACTTACTACTAGAGAAAAAAACAGCCCTTAGCCCTTCCTGAGTTTCTTGCCGGTTCCTCTCAGTACGAGGTCTCCCATCGTAGTTTTGCGAATCGATGGCGTAGCTTCTTGACATTCACAAGTGCTTGTATCAGCCTAGACTGAATAAATGATTTTTGATTTGATTTTATCTCGCTTCTTGTTCATCGTCGGTGTTAGAACAAATGCCATATTATGTGAATTTCTTTGATGCATTCTACTAGCAAAAATAAATCGAATGTTACCCCTTATTTTTCACGTAAAAGGTTGATAGTTTGCGTAACATGACGCACGTTAAGTGTGAGAAGGTGGGTGGGTGAGTAATCTAAAGGAACCCTATAACAATATTATTCATCAATTCAGCATTCTAGTGTGTTTAGAGATGGAGCCAAAGAGTGATATTTTATTCTAAGAATATCTATCGCTTGTTTGTTTCTAGACTGTAATGACGTTGTAACAATTTAATGATTTGTAAATGTTGATGTAGGTACATTATTTTTTTAATGTTGTGGAGATTTTTTCGATCGTTTTTCTCCGCAGCTAAAAAATATGTCCATTAACAAGTAGGGATAAAAATGTTGATGGTTCAAAAGAGGCGTAGGTACTATTGATCTAATTTGAATAAAGATATTTTGAGTTTGACTTTGACTTTTACTACCTACTCTAGAATTCAAGGAAATCCCTCGGAAGCTTTTCATGGGAAAACCAATCCAGAAAATCTACATGTGATTATAATAATAAATAATAATAACTATTTTCACAGAACTAATAAAGGTACATCATCATCATCATCAGCCTATTAATGTTCCCACTGCTGGGGCACAGGCCTTCACTATGGATGGAATAGGTAGATTAGGCCATGACCCACCACGCGGGCCCAGTGCGGATTGGCGGGTGCCAACGACTGCAGATGCAGCCGGGACCAACGGCTTAACGTGCCTTCCGAAGCACGGAAGAGCTCGAGATAGTAAATTTTTAGTCCCCCATCCAATGACCGACCACTGCGAAAGTTACTTAACTTCATCGATCGCAGCCGAACGCGCTAACCACTTGCGCCATCGAGCTCCTCAGACAATATAGGTACACATTGTATTAATATGATAGATAGTTTTTGTACAGCCATTAGTTATTTAATGTTTTTTACTCCATAATTAAGTATATTTATACAGAAATATATAGAAACATGAGAGGAACTTAATGGCGCAGTTGGCTAGCGCATTCGGCTGCGATCGTTGAAGTTAAGCAACTTTCGTAATGGTCGGTCATTGGATGGGTGACCAAAATTCTTCTATCTCAAGTTCCTATCGGGCCCGCTAGGTGGCTTTATTAACAGAGTTACTTATAGATTAATATTGCAGTTTAATGAATCCTAAAAATTTTGAACTATTTGAGTCTGCGAAATAATATTGACTACTTTCAAGTATTTTGGGTATACGATCTAATCAAATTTAGTAATACCACGAAAGAATGTAATCTTACAAAAAGATACATATTCATTCTACTCATCGATAGATGGCACTATATACTTTCGAAGTGCGTTTTGATAATAACACTTATTTTAGATCTTAGCTTTTAAACAAATAAATTAATATACTAATCACTTTAAAATGTGTTAACTCAAAAATATTTATTTACTTAATCTAAATACGACGTGAAGTACTATATAAATGTATATTTCTAATCCTGTGACTTCATTAATCTTAAATAGCGATACGTCAAAAATTGTAGTAAAAATAAAACGCAACAATAACAATACCATGTGTCAAAAGCATTTTGTGTAGTTTTTTGTTGTTTCTTTTGTAAATCTGAATATACTTTAACTTCTTTTTCTTAAAATAAACTACTTTCATAATGTCCTTGAATCCAGTAAATGGTAAAGTTTTAAAACGTGCATTTTAACTACAAATATGACATATTTCCGAAATAACCTCTAAATATTTTAAAGTTTCTTTTTCTGTGAAATTTATTATTAATTGACTTGATAATTAGCTTTTTTAAGTAGTACTGTAAACATTCACTTATATTGTATATTTTTTGACTTGAATACAGTACATCAATACCTATTTATTTGGAGTCTCCTTTCACAATACTGTTTTCATAATTTATCTTGTTTATAAATATTGATACTGCTTAATTTAATTAATGGTCTGTAACTTAACATTTTCAGAATTGAAACGACATTTAGATGATCATGATATACCTCTGCCAAAACGATTATGTTTGGCGAAGAATGTCATCCAGTCCTATCACTTACCATCTGCACCCAAAGAACGGATAGTAGCCACTTGGTTGGAGACTTTGACACAGAGAAATGAACTGTCTGGTGAGGATTTAAAAAGTGTAATAGGCTGGGTCAACATTGCTGATGATTTGACAAATGATTTGAAAGGCAAATTAATACAGGTAAATGAATGTGTTATGATGCATACTTATATACATACTCAATAGTTTTACTCTGAAGTGAGTCAAAAATCAACATGCAGAAAGCGAAACTCACAACTCAAAGGCCTGTAAGGTGTGATGCATTGATTTTTACTCACTTTAGAGTAATACTGTATGTGATTACAGGCCATTACAATATCCTGACAATGTAGCTTACATTGTTATTAGGAGTTTTATTTGAATCAAATATATGCTATTTAACCATTTCACTAAATTTAATAAGCTAAGCTAATATCAATTTACATTTCATATTATTTAATTGTTATTATCACATAATTTATTTGTTTATTCTGTTATAGTAGTACTATATATTTGTGGTCTTAATGCTACAATAAATAAGTCCAGAAAATCAACTTTTAGAACAATAAGTAGTACTATGTTTTTGTAAGAGTCCAATAGGCTCTTTTAAGCATTCAGAGTAGATAATGCAATCTCACAAAATAATTTCAATCCTGGTATTTGGCGGATTTGAAATATAATAATAAATTTGATGAATACAAGCATTTGTACTCCAGCCATTGATGTTTAATATGTATTTATATAAAAATATACTTATTTAAGTATGGTATATGTATTCTACCCGTTACCCTAGTATCCCATAACACAAGCCTTATAGTGCTTACTTTGGGGCTAGGCTAATTGGTGTGTAAAAAAAAAACAAATGGGTATTTGTGTTTTTCAGATTATCTCACAATATCTAAAGAGAAATCCATTGCAAAGTGGGGATCTACCGTGCATGATCTCATTTTTGGAAAACTCAAAACTTTTAACACAACTTAGTCTTAATATTGCTGAAAGTTTACACATATGTGTCACTTTATTGCAATATTTAAAAAGGGACGAGTCATCAGACAGTCAGCTTGCTCATAAACTACTGAATATCATAGTTAAATTTTATAAGGAATCAAAGAAAAAGCTAGAATTTATAATAAATTTTTTGGATGGAGAAAATTTGGAGACCGTGTTAAGCTATTTAGATACTGATTATGTCACAGTTAAGTATGTATGTGAAAATATTCTGTTTCCTATGAATAAAAAGTCTTTCTTTGCCAATTACCTCCAAACTCTGGTTAGGAAAGATAATTTGGATGATTTGATTTCTGAAAAAGGAGACAATATTAGAGCAGTATTGAAAATCATGGATACATTTTTCAACTTTCCTCAAGGAAGAAATGACGTTGAACACAAGTTTCTTTCTGATTTCATTGAAGTGTTTGTCAGTTGTTACCGAACTGAAAGTCAACTTATATTTGCATTCTATGTGATGATTGCTAACTGCCTTAATATGGAGCAAAACTATTTAACACCAGCTATGAATATGAAACCAATAACATTCCCCGAGAACGATGAGAAAATAATAAGAAGTTTATTCCTATCAATGCTCAATACACTATTAAACAATGAAATTGATACAAGTGTAAGATTGAGTGATACTCTAGGTGTTAAGATACCAAGAGTTGAAACAAAGAAAACATTTTTATTGTTTCTGGAAACTGTAATGATGGGACAATTGAAAATGGAAGGAAAAGCTGACAAAACTACTTTTAACATAGTGAAATCTGCTCTGAAACTAGACCCAAGTTTGGTTGAGCCAAAAACAGATGACATTTTGCCACCCCTTATGTGTGTAAAGAAAACTACAAATAGCATAGAATCATACACACAAATGTTGAATTTTACATTAGAAACTTATTTTAAACTTGGCAGAGGTACACTATTCGTAAATAATATTTTACCATTGGTTAAAAACTGCCTGTCTGCCAACAATAATGAAGATGCACAGGTTTGTGAGAAAAATAAAAAGAAAACTTTATCTGCCAATGAAATATTTCCTGAAGAAACTGTGGAGCTGTACGGGAGGTTGACTTCCGAACTAATGTTCAGACAAAACAAAGATTTACTTGTGTCTTTACAAAAGGGCTTTGAAGAACTCAGCTTGAATGCTTTATGTGAAGGACAAAGAAGTAAGTAATATGTGATAGTATAATTCCAAATTAGTATCTATAGACAAAATGAGTTCATACTTTTATGTTGTTTTAAAATACAAAGGTACTTTATTATGGGTAGAATAAGACTTTGCCAAAATATCAAGGTTTATTCTGAAAAATAATAAAATATATCCTTTTGAAAGAGTCTAATGAACATGAACTCATTTGAACTTTTGACCAATTTTGATTATTTATATTCTTCTTGTAATAGTAACCAATTTAATTTATTATTGACTAAAGAAGGAAAACATTAAAATAAACGATTTCCTTATGATAATATGAAATATCAACCGGTAAAACCTACAGTTTGCATAAATGATGCAATTTGCTGATATTTTCAATCAATCAAATCATTTATTCTTTATGTATGTATTATATTTCTTTATGTATGTATATAAGGTAATAAATAAACCATCCAATAAAGTTAAAGTTTCATTAATTATCTAAAGGAATTTTCCACAAAATAAAATTTTCAACTGTGCCTTACCTAGGCAAGTATTACAAGAATCACATCAATACCCTTTCCTATCGACTACCATGGCGACCTAGGCCTTACCAGACATGATGAATTTCTTATAGTATATCCTAGGGTGCAAGGCAGCATCTTTTCTTCATACCTTTTTTTGTATATTAGAAATATTAACTTACAGATCCACCAACAGTTATATTAACAGAAGTCATGTCGGCCATTTTGTCTACCTTCTTCAAGCATTGCAAGATGGCGGATCATACAGTGCCACTACAAATTGCAGAAGAATTCTGGTCATCCTACAATGAATTTGAGTGTAATTGTTTAAAGAAATTTGGTGAGAGTATAATCAAAACAGAAATGGACTGTGTAAGTTATTTAAATTAAATTATTTAACATTATATCACTCACATACATATTTTATTGTCTTTGGATTAAGTAAAACCATTGCCTTATTCAAGTGAAAAATAATAGCAAAAGACATGACAAAAGTTCTGGCTTTTCTTGTTAATTCTCCATTATAAATCAAATGTAGACTTGGCTGTCTTAATTACAACAATCAATTTTTATTTGGAAAAAAGTTATATTTTTACCAAACTGAAATTGAATTCTCGCAATATTTTTCAAATGTCAAATTGAAATATTTCATATTGGTAAGGCTTTTATCCTCCGGAGATGTTAGAAATGATTACAATGACAGTCAAAACTACTCACTTGAATTAGAATTTTTTGTCTTTATCTTCCTCATTCACTCATTTATATGTTTTTCGAATGAGGGCTACCGTTTTTTGTCTCACCAGATGATACTACAGTTGAGTGAGGTCCTGAGGTGTAATTTTTAAAGATTATTAATACGCGCGTGAAATCAAAGTTTACATTTTAATCATATTTTAATACAAAATAACCATATCGTAAACATAATTGGCCATGCCAATTTTAAATTAACTGACATTCATTCACACAACTCATATTTGCCATAATTAATCTAAGTTATTACCAAATATTCACAACAGTATTTTAATTAAAAATAAACCCGCGTAGTTAGCCCACAAGCAATAGCATTTAAAATTTCGGAGACCTAACGCTACACTAGCGCCTCTAGCGGCGAATTCATACGCGATAGCCCTCATTCACTTACAGCTTTACTGAAATAGTTTCTAGCATCAACCACTCAACAAATATTGCCTATTAACATTAACTTCTGGTCACCCATCCTATGACTGGACATTGCGGAAGTTGCTTAACTTTTACGATCTGAGTCCGAATCGACCCAACGAAAAAAAAAATATTTAACATCGATACAAATCATAACTGTTTATAAACTTCGGTTTATATAGATTCTGGTGTGCTTCATTAAAAGTAGCATTTAAATTCAAATTATTTTTTTTCTGACGAATCGTGGATTTATCATTGGGTACATTAAATATTACCAAAAACACCAATCATAATAATTCCAATTGACAATAATTAATTAAATTTATAATGCAATAATAAACAATAATAATAATCAAACAATAAAATACAATAATTACAGTCATTACTAAACTTTGTTAGTTAGTACATGTAACATAAATTTAGTGTCTACGCACATTTTTCATTATGTAATTACATATCTTTACACAACCCGGCAAATATTTTTAACATAAACTATAGAAAAATTAACCCTTCTCCTTCTGTTTTATCATGGGACCGAAACCTGTCCAAAAGGTACATTGGACGAATCACCGATCTCCGTAAGATGATACCGTCGCATAGCCAAAAACAATATATGGCATTATTTAAACATTGAAAGTCACCTTTAAAACATACTGTAAAAGGTCCTAATTAAAACGCATGCGTCAAAGAGTTATGACAGTTCGAAATGCAAGCACGTAAAATTTAACGACTTATTGCTACATACGGATGAATATAGACCTTATATCCTTGACTCTACGCGCAATTCTGAATGTTAGCAATATAGCAGGTACGGACCGCGAGGAGAAGAGACGGCTATATATGCGACCATACATTTTAATATCACAAATATTTCTATTAAATCAGTTTATAGTAAGTATTACAACAACGTTTGCTTCAAATGTGTTAAATTAACAAACATTCATTATATATCTGTCGAAAAAACTACACTTTACGTACTATACGTATTTTTTGCGCATTTTTTCACGGAGCTCTGCGGCATCTTGACTTTTCAACGGTCCGCGCGTGACTATGAACCAAAAAGTGCTTGAGTTGTGTTCAAGCACTTCTTAATTGGGACACATTTTGAGCGCTCTTAATGTATCTAGGGTTAATATCGTTGCTACTTACTATGAACTATTTATAAATCATCTTTATTTTATAAATTACAGGAGCCACAGTTACTACGGGCATTCTTAAAATTGTGTTGCAATTTTTCTTATCTGAGACTTCTCAAAGTTAAATATAGCAACACCAAATTGGAAATTTCTGAAATTGATAATACATCGGGTGTTTTTGACGTATCTGTGCTACTGCCTTCCTTGAAAACTGAGCAATGGACGCAGTTGGCTTCGAAAATTACTGATGACGAAGCTACTTTACTAATGGTAAGTAAATTACTTATGTAGTACTTAGTACATTTACAAAAAACTCTAATTTAAATTATGAAATATGCAAATGACATCTCATGATCCTTGATTCTACTAATATTATAAATGTGAAAGTGTGTATGTTCCTTACTCAATCACGCAAAAATTACTGAATGGATTTGGATGAAGTTTGGTACATATGAAGTCTGGATGAGTAAAGTTCTCAATAAGCTACTAAGAACTTATCTGCTCAGTAAACAAACAGGGATGTTGACTTTGACGTTGACAGGGCACTTTTGCTTGCTTTTAACCGCTGTTCCAAAAACATTCAACGTCCCTATTCTTTACTGAGCAGATTAGCTTACTAAGAACTTTACTCAGCGATTGTGAAACAGGCCCTTGATCTAGTTCTTTCAACTTACAGGATGAAATTCTACTCATCAAAACAATGGTCATAAAAGTTTTAACAAGCGGAAACTCTGAAAGCAACGAAGCTGCAATATCAGAGACCAAATCTTATCTAATCAAGCAACTGAATAACTATCCTGGTGTTCTCAAATCTAATAACCACATACCAAATGTTCTATTATCCGATTTAGACAAAAGTCAAATAAAACAAGTTGCTAAAGTTGTGATCGAACAGTTTTTGATAGACTCCGATGAAAATATACTAAAAACCGATGCTGTAATCAATAACAGACCTCTATTAAGTGCACTTTTATTAGAAACAATCAAAAATATCCTCAAGTGTTTCAATAATTCGGAACTCTTAACTAAAGCTGTGGCCAAATCGAATTTTGATTTTATATCATTTGCAAAAGATATCGATATGAAAGATTTTTTCAAAGACCTGACATTCAATGAAGACGCAGATGTCAATAATGTGCCTTGTCATGTTGAACTTTTAAAACACTTACAAATCTACTATTTGGAAGAAACTCACCAGTTAATCGCCATTTTTGTGTTGCTAGCAATAAAAAAGAACGCTCAGAAAAAACTTAGACGCAACATAGATCGTATTTTATTAAGCATATTCGAACTTTGCTCCCAACCTCCGGATTTGTACAAAATATTCCCTGTGCAATTCATATTTTCATTCAAAGACAGACTATTGATAGATTTACTGTGTCTGAAAATAGAAACTTCAAACAGTTTTCTACCAATCAAATGTTTATTAGAATCGGCTGTAAAGAGAGTGAAAATTGAAAAAGATCTCGTATTGAGTATCGCGGAATTGTTGTTGAGAAAGCAGTCTAAAGTTAACATGACAAGTATAGAGTTTTTCAATGAGCCAGCATTTCAAATGAGTTGCATTATTCTGCCATTAATAGTCAGGCAAAAGAAAGTCATAACGCTTAGTGCTTATAGATCAATTTTGGCAGATTTACAAGAGAAATTGCATAAATCTCTGCTTGAATGTTTCAAAAATATAAACTTTAAAGAATATAGCAGCATGCTCATTGATGAAACTGGCAATACCGATGAATCGACGGTAGTTTCCGACAGTACTACGGCAACACTGAACGCTATATCGGCTTACTCCCTGACGTTATCGAAATACAGTGAGTCGACTGATTCGGAGGAATTAAAGAATTTGGATTGTTTATGGTCTGGATTGGAATACTTCGTACAAAATGCTGTAAGTATAATACGTTTTTAGTATACTATTACTAGTAAATTTGTATGGAGAGCGGTGTTCAGTCTCTGGCACACTCCAAATTTTATGACATGTAGTGCACGTAATTGTAAACAAGAATTTATTATAACCTCGTTTTTTTTAAATAAATATTATAATTTAAAATGACATAATTATTGATTTGCCATTGGCAAGTTTAAATGTTTGTTGCTTTGGTAACAAATATATACTATTTAATAGGTAACTAAAACAGTGGTAATGATTCCGTTCATCTATATACAGAGCGTCCCACGGCTACCTCCCACGGCTACCTCACACGGAGGGAAAGTATATTAAATATTAAAGATAGGATATTTTACTGAAAGAAGACATCATTTCATTTTTAATAATAAGTAGAACTGCATTCACAGATTTTTTTAAAATCGACTGCTACAACTGAGAATCAAACTCATGATATTTCGAAAAAAAAACCACTACATGTTTTATGATAACCATCGAAAGGGTCAATCATAACAATTATTTTTTGCTAAATAACATGTGGTATATAAAACTCAAAGGACTGACATAGTGATCTATCAACGCACAGCCCAAACCACTGGATGGATCGGGCTGAAATTTGGCATGCAGGTAGATGTTATGACGTAGGCATCCGCTATGAAAGGATTTTGATCAATTCTACCCCGAAGCGAAGCGAGGGCGGGCCACTAGTCTCTCATAATGTTATTAGCTATTTTGTGGGTATTGAATTTTAAGAAAAATCAATCAAAAATTGGTGTAATTTCACTACAATTTCACAAATATGTGGTATGGCTGGCCTTATAGACATTTTACAGTGATTGAATGTGACGTCACTTATGACAAAGTGGCCAGCATCCTTACGAAGTTGTACAATTTTCAAACACGAATTAAAATTAATCGGAGATAAATAAAAAAATATAAATATCTGTTCATGTTATTGCATAAAACAAGCTTCAAATGATATATGTTTCATCGCTGCTAAAAACCGACTACCACTTTTCCACTTCCTTTGATTAATGTTTATTTTTCTTACAAATTAATTTTATAAATATATTATTCTTTATTCATAGGTGATTTCGATACAAAATTCTGAAACGAAACATCAACATGTCGAATCTTCTATTCAACTTCTGAACACTGTGTTGAGATACATAAAGAAACTAGCAACCCATGAGATATTCCAGACCAAAGACAAACTCTTCATCCAGATCTGGAATAGCGTTAAGGCGCGATTGTCTATGATACTAGATGAAAGGCACAAGAAGAAATATATGATGAATGCTAGTCTTTTAGAAGATATATCTGTTACTATAAAGTTTTTGTGCGAATGGATTTCTGTCGAAGGATTCGTCGGACATTTTGTCGCAGATCTCAATACTTTATCATCTTTACAGGTAAAACTTTAAGTTTTTTTATATAAATTTACCTAAAATAATGTTTTGATCTTTCAGATTATGATTTAATTTTATTCCGTTTATTTGTTTACACTTTAATTAGCTTTAAGTGTCAATATACGCTCATAATAAATAACATTAAACTGAGGCCCATTAGCACCAAAGTTCTTAAATGCCAGTCATGTTGAAGGATATCTATTTGTCTATTAACAAATAAAGATGGAATAACGTGTTACTTGTTATAATTAAGCATTAATTTTAATTATTAAGAATGTTGATGCAAGCAGCCTTATTAATTAATCACTAAGCTATGGACTATCCTCTCCCTAAATGTGTGATAATAAAAAAGTATCTTTTTACAGCCTCCAAAAATCTTTAAAAATGAAACACAATCACATTCGCCTTTGACTTCGCATATAGTAGCGAAATATCTATGGACTCAAATTTTAAAAGCTAACATAGTTGGCCAAAAGTGTGTTGCCCTATCGAAATTAATGTACCAAAATAGTAGAAATCTCAAAAGTTACGTTCACGAACATTTTGAAAGTGAACACACTGGTGTTATTATAAAGAGTAAGAAAAAAAAGTTGTCTGTTGAAATACAAGATGAAAATGGTGAAGATAAGGAGATTAGAATTGTGTTGGTCGATGATGTAGTCTGTGAAATGGTGAAGACTTGCTTGGGATCGCTGTCGGAAGCCATTTTGGCAGCTAAAAAGGTAATTAAATTACACAATTATGTGTTACCTGTTACTATTAAGATACATAAAGAAACTGGCAACCCGCGAGATGTTCCAGACCAAAGACAAACTCTTCATCCAGGGGGCCAATCGCCTAACTGGATTGCTTTGGAAAACGCTATCGCTTACGATTTCATTTTGTTATTTCTAACTGCCGAAATACCTCACGCTCATTTTCTTTAACATTGTTATTACCAATGCAAAAGAAAAAAAAAGAGCGCGAGGCATTTGAAAACCTCAGGGGGCTAGAAATAACAAAATGAAATCGTAAGCGATAGCGTTTTCCAAAGCAATCCAGTTAGGCGATTGGCCCCCAGGTCTGGAAAGGCACAAAAAGAAATATATAATAAATAGAAGCCTTCTAGATACACCTTTTAGAAGATTACAGGAAAATAACATTACTTTTGGTTGAAATTGTGTGTTTGTTGATGAGAAAAGTTCTCTAGATAAAACATTACACACGAAAAATCCATACTTAATATAATATCATAAATGAGAAAGTGTCTGTCTGTAACCTCTTTACCTTTAAACCGCTGAACTGAATTAGATGAAATTCTTAATCCAGGAAAGAACATAGGATAGTTTTTAACCCAGAAATCATCCTTTAAGGGGACGAAAAGAGATTTACAAGTTTGTATAGGAATCCGGTTAAACCACGCAGATGAAATCGCGGGCTTTCGCTAGTAAGAAAATAAATAAGAACCAAAACACATGAAAAATATAGAGACACAAATACTTTATAATACTTACTTTGAATTTTAAAACGAAATATAAATTGAAAGCTAGAATATATTTGCTTAATATTATCTTCTCTAATATATATAAAATTCTCTTGTCACGGTATGCGTAATTGAACTACTCCGAAACGGCTTAACCGATTTTCGTGTATATGCATATTCAGTAGGTGTGAGAATCGGACACCCTTAAATATTTTTTTATTTGACATTTTTTTTGTTTTTATTTTTTTATAATACATCATACAAAATTACATACAACCCTAAATTTTCACCCTGGCGGTACGAAGTTCGCTGGGACAGATAGTATATATATTTTTTTTTATGTGGTAGATAAACTTGGACTACAAATTTTTGGATGTCATATTTGAAGTGCAGAATTCCGTGCACTACATATTGGGTCATAATACAATAGGAGCAAAGTGCGAAATCTCCTGGCAGGCTTTCTTCAAGCTTTTCGAAGGATTGATAGCTGTATTGAACAGTTTATTGGTTTCTAGAGAAGAATTACTCGAAGATAGGTAAGGAGATAATTTAGAATTACATAATATAAAAATATATCAAAGATTTCTAAACAACAGTCCAAAAAAAGTGTTTTTAGTGTAAATGTACGTACATATTTTATTTCTGCCATAATTTCACTACATGGCTATTTGTAAACTTGACAATATCCTTATCATACTTTATAGGAAATAAATATATATATAAAAATTATGCAAGCACTTAAAGAATGGAATGGCCCATTTAACCAGATGGCTGCGGCTGCTACATATTTTGTCATAATTTCGACTTAAGCCCACTTGCAGTAAATTTGGTTAATCTCGATTCAACTAAAACTAGATATATTCCATAGAAAAATGTCAAATTGACATTAACGTCTTTGTATGGGCTGAATTTCATTTTAGTTAAATTGATATTAAGAAAATTTGTTAGATCTAAAGATACTAAAATGTATGTTGTAAACCCACTTTAATGCCGCCACTTCACATGTTTGCTGTTTGTCATTTTGACAGCTGGTTGTCCTTATCATACTTTATATGGGGTGAAAAAGAGAGATTGTTGTCAAGTTTACAAATTCAAACAACTATATTAAATACCCTAGATACACCAACACGAACAAAATCGTGCGTGAAATCTGTCCAAAAGGTACATTGGACGATCCACGGAGCTGCGTAAGATGATCGCGTATTCAAAAACAATATAAGGCATTATTTAAACATTGAAAGTCAGCTATAATGCATACTGCATAAGGTCTTAATTAAAACGCTTCAAATAGTTATGCCTGTTCGAAATGCAAGCTCGTAAAATTTTACGACTTAGTGCTATATGCGGAAGAATATAAAACTTTATTATTATTTATTACCGACCATGCATTTGAATATCACAAATATTTTCTATCAAATCAGTTTATAACAAGTATAAATAAATTTGCTGCCAATGCGTTTTTACAAAGATTGCATAGATACCTGTCGAACAAACACTTCTTCACATACTATATTTTTTTTTTGCATTTTTTCACGGAGTTCTGCGGCATATTGACTTCTCTACGGTCCGCGCGTGACTGTGAATCAAGAAGTGCTTGAGTTTTGTTCAAGCACTTCTTGATAAGGACACATTTTGAGCGCATGTGGTGTATCTAGGTATTTAATGTCGTTGATAGCAAGTACGAATAGCCATGTAAAGTGCCAACATAACATAGTTCATTTCATTAATCGTCTCAAACTGATGCTGTCACTTTTGTTTTCTAAAAAGGAGGCAAAGACAATATTAGGTTTAAACCACGACTACCTTTAGCCCGAGTTTTGGAATAAGGCTGTTCTTTCTCGTCACTCTGTTTCGGTCTTGTCATACTTGTATATATTTTCGTCTTGTAAGGCAAAAATTTTATAAAATTATGTTTAAACATCAGCAAAAATTAAATATATATATTCTTATTTGTCACTCTATATCGATTTTATCATATTTGTATATTTTTTTTGTCTTGCAAGGAAAAATCTAATGAAATTTACACTAGCAAGAATAAAATTAAAATATAATCACACTAATATTATAAAGGCGAAAGTTTGTGAGTGTGTATGTTTGTTACTTCTTCACGTCTAAACGGCTGGAGCGATTTTAATAAAATTTGGCATGGAGTTATCTGACTCCCTGGATTAACACATAGGCGTTAACGTTTTACTGCGGAAAAATATCTCTAATCAACCGCGGGTAACACCGCGGGGCACAGCTAGTTAATTATATCATCATCATCATCATCATCAGCCTATTAACGTCCCCACTGCTGGGGCACAGGCCTTCTCTATGGATGGAATAGAGAGTTTGGGCCGTGACCCACCACGCGGGCCCAGTGCGGATTGGCGGGTGCTAACGACTGCAGATGCAGCCGGGACCAACGGCTTAACGTGCCTTCCGAAGCACGAAAGAGCTCGAGATAGTACATTTTTTTGGTCACCCATCCAATGACCGACCACTACGAAAGTTGCTTAACTTCAACGATTGCAGCCGAACGCGTTAACCACTTGCGCCATCGAGCTCCTCCATTTTAAGTTAATTATATACATATATAAATCGTTTTTCCCAGATGGCCGTGCTACATGCAATGTTATAGAATGTTGACATACTGCTTGTGTAGTAAATCTTCGTCGCAAGCTCAGCTTGAACGCAGTATAGAAGACAAATTGGGAGAATTGGCACATTCCGTAGAGAAGTAAGCATTTGTGGAGTAAATTAAACTATACTACTACAATATTAGAAATGTTAAATTTTATATGTTCGTAATTTAATCACGCAAAAACTACTAAACTGATTTGGATGAAATTTTGTACGTATAGTTAATAACCTGGATTGAGACTTTTTATCCCGAAATAATTTTAGGTTCCTGAGAGATTCTCATGCAACTAAAGTTAACGCGGAAGAAGTCGCGGGTGGCCTCTAGTAATATTATTAATGCGAAAATGTGTCTGTCGGTTACCTGTTCACGCCTAAACCGCTGAACCGATTGAGATGAAATTTGGTATAGAGATAGTTGGAGCCCCGGGACATGGCAAAGTTTTTATCCCTGAAATCATATTTTAATGGATCCCCCTTAATCAATAATGGAGGTGGAATTTTGTATGGATAATCAATTTTCCACCATTACCAATAAACCAGTCTTTCTTGAAGAGGACTGTACAGGGTTAATTTTAAAACACCAATAACCTCTTAGGGGCTGATTCTACCCATCAACAGGAACAACTTTTACTATGGGACCAACGCTGTAATCGCGAAAAAAAATTTTGCTGTTTCATACATTTCGGTCAATTACTGCTGCACTTTTGTATGAAACAGCAGATTGTTTTTATCGCGATTTCAGCGTTGGTCCGATAATAAAAGTTGTTCCTGTTGATGGGTAAAATCACCCCCTAAGGGGTTGTTGGTGTTTTAAAATTAACCCTGTATATAACGCCCCCTTATGGTGTTTGGGATTTATAGATATCTGTACCCTTAGTACGAGTTTGAGCTCACGAAAACTATCATAGTTTCCGTAATTGTAAATTATGTTTCTATGTCCATTTTGGTGAAAAGTATCCAAATATACTTAAAATTTAAGAAGACACAATTGATTTAATCATAGAATTTAAACACTGTTTATTTGTATTGAAACGAAAACAATAAAATCAACGAGTGCGAGCTCACGAAAACTATCAGTTTTCGTAATTGTAAAACTCGTACTAAGGGTACTGATGTAGTGGCTTTAGGTTTTGTTAATACATTATTTATCTTAAGCCACAGTTTGATTGTTTAAATAAATATATATCCTGTGTTTTAACCGATGCCTGGACCTGGTTGATTTTTTTCCAGTAAAATTCTCTTTAGATTTACAATATTTATTTTAATCAAATCAAACTTAACTGTTAACTCTACAGAATATAGCTTATCATTAGCCTATTAATGTCCACACTGCGGCGGCACAGGCCTTCCCTATGGATGGAATAGGGAGTTTGGGCTATGATATCCACCAAGGCGCGGGCCCAGTGCGGATTGGTGGGTGCTAACGACTGCAGATGCAGCCGGGACCAACGGCTTAACGTTCCGAAGCATGGCGGAACTTGACATATTACATTTTTGGTCACCCATCCAATGACTCTCTGCAATAGTTGCTTAACAAAGCCGAACGCGCTAACCACTTACGCCATTGAGCTCCTTTAATAAATTACATTGAAATTTACGCCGCCGTCTCTCCCACTTCCTTCTAATCCTCTTCATCCAAAGGTTGTCTGGAAGAGATCGCTTTTAGCGATAAGGCCGCCCATAACACTTGATTTAAATGGCTATGTATTTACTGCAATGTTTTCTGTGGTGTTCAATAAAGTGTTTTGTATTGTATTATCTCATCTTGCAGGCTAACCCAATCCATATGCAAGAGGAAATCCCACGTATCCCGTATCGCTGCATACTCAGTAGGGGATCTATGTTCAGTATTAGAAAAGACAGTTCCTTCAAGAAATGTAAGACAACATATAGAAAATTCAATAGCTTTATTAATACAGGCTTCTGACACGGTCCATGCTATGGCTTTCTTGAGAAGAGCTTTGGCCGGTTCAGCTGGACAAATGACAATGACAAACATGTATACTATGTATAAGAGATATCATAAATATGTTGGGAACGCTTAGACACCATAGACTAAAGTAAGGGATTAGGGATATTGGTGTCGATTCTGGCATGATTCTCTTAAACTAAATTTAATATGAGTCTGTCCTTTTCATTCTGTATAGAGAATAACAAGGATACACTGCTGTCGATTCTGGCATGATTCTCGAAACTTAAAACTAAATTTTACATCAGTCTCTCTTTTTCATTCTGTATAGAGAATGACAAGGATACACTGGTTTCCATTCTAGCGTGATTCTCTAAACTTAAAACTAAATTTAACATCAGTCGCTCCTTTTCATTCTGTATAGAGAATGACAGGGATGCACTGTTGTCAAATTTAAGTTTAGCTTTAGAGAATCATGCCAGAATCGACATCAATGCTGTCAAATTTAAGTTTAGGTTTACAAAATCATGCCAGAATCGACAGCACTTTTGTCAAATAAAAGATCATACCAGAATCGACACCAATGACGGGGTAAAGAATACGAAAATCTGTTTGGTCCGTCAGTCAAAATTAACAATAAATAGACTCGTATTTTCTTGTAATTTTGTCAGTAAATTAAAAAAATTAAGTGCGTCAAATTTTAAGGGGGGGGGGGGGGGGGATTCTTGATGTCACTTCTAAGTTAATATTGTACTAAGACGTGACGTCTTGCGACATTTTAAGCCAATATATTGTTGTCATATTTTGATTGTGTGAACAAAGAAAAATTATGTGTCCAATACTTTTTCATAATGCACATTCTATCTGATAGATAAAGAAAAATAGTTATCATATAAGCGTTAAATTATAATATAGTATATTCAGTAGGAGCTAAGGCTCTCTATGAACTGGTTTCTCCAGATTCTATGAAAATCAAACAAAACCGATTGTCGTCGAAATGGAAGAATATAAACTTCTTCAACTGTACATAGAAAATTTAAGAATAAAATAATTTATATTTAGCAATTGACACGTTTTATTTAAAACCCTCTACTTCATCATATTTATATGAAATGGAAGTAAACTTTGTTCAAGTTGACTTATAAAAATCTCTTTTCAATCTTCCTTATATTTTTTTCACACCACCTAGGACTATATTTTAGCTGACAAGAACAACAGGTGAATGAAACTTCCCAGCTCTTAATGAAGTAACGATATTTACGTAAAGATAATATGTCGTCACTAAACACATCATGATGTGGAAACCACATCAGACGTAAACCAAAATCTCGAAAACAAAACAAAACAACAAGTCCCATACCGTTGCATCGTGGAGTGAGACAAGGGGACGTTATTTTCTCAAAATTGTTCACTAACGCAATGGAGGATATGTTTAAGACGCTAAACTGGAAAGGACGTGGTGGTATTATTCACGTCATTTTAACCCAAGGGCCATGGTCCGCCTAGGGCGACTGCAAAAGCTACTAAGCTCGGTAGAAGCCATATAAAGGCATTCATTACTGACCCATATTTTGATTAGATTTACTAATTCTAAGGTGTTGTGGCCGGGGCTGCCAGATTTATCGAACAATACTACAACATATTTGGATGAAGAATAATAGAATAAACATTGATTGTTATCTCAATGAATAGATCTTTACATAAAGTAATAGCATTCGTAACGTCCGGTAAGCATATGCCCACATTCCCAACTTCCAAACATGATTCGAATGAACGAGCTCTTAAGTAATGAAAAAAAATATAATTCAGGAGCTCAATTTAGTGCGATCGTGGAAGTTAAGCAACTATCGCAATGGTGCATCATTGGATGGGTGACCAATAACTTATTATTTCAAGCTCCTCTGTGCTTCAGATCGGAAGACACCTTAGCCGTTGGTCCCGGCTTCATCTGCAGTCGTTAGCACCCATCAATCTGCACAGGGCCGTCGTGGTGGATCATGTCATGGCCTAATCTCCACATTCCATTCATAGGGAAGGCCTGTGTCCCAGCAGCGGGGACATGAATAGGACGTTGAGATATAATTATACAAAAAAGTGAATCTGTGTGGGTAGATAAAATCGATTTAAATCGGCCTCATACCTTTTCCTCATTTTAACTTTGCTTCTATGTAAGTCGTTGTTGGTTAATAAAAATCATTAATATGATTCATTACGATAAATTCATTGTAAGTTGTTAAGAACCTACGTTTTTTTAGAAAATTAACAGCAATGATTTTCATTATATTTAACAAAAAGGGCGGTAAAATTCATATTAGTACTCATCACTGACAAGCTGACAAGACAGTTACATGGTGTTTCCGTCACTCCTTTTATGGGCATTTGAATGAAATAAGTTCCACTTCTTAAAAGACGACCTGTAGCTGTTTTCACTCATTATTTCTGTGAGTCACTATTCGAGCAGGAGCGCGTTAAAAAATAGTTCTGCTCTATGTTTACGTCGAAAAGTACGACTGTATTTCTTTGTCATATTATATCTTGTAAAGAATAAATAAAAGTGACTGTTACAACTTATAGAAATAAATTGCAACGTTTATCGTGAACACTGGTTATTGCAAAGCTACTAAAATTCGCAAAGTTGTCATTACTGTATACCTAGAAAGTGATGAAAGTCAAATCTATATTTAATATATTTTAAAATTAAATTGTATCTTTTAAAATATATATTGAATATAAAAGTATTAAATAAAATTATCAAAAAATCAGAGAAAAATATTTCATTAGATAAATTTTATTTGCCAACATATCTCAAAATACAAGCAATATTAAAACTGTGTATTGACTACCAGGCGGAATTTTGACACATGCGCTGATTGGCCGTCAGAAAATCCGTGCAGCCAACATTCCGGACAGTGTCATTGCGGTCGCCTTGTCGTGTGTTGGTGAAGTTTAGTGGTGGAATTTTTACGTGTGTAACATCATAAAATGGTAAGTGAAGAAAATAAAATACAAGTGATTCGTTAACGTGCTGTGTTTAACAATTTATGTGCTAGTGCAGAATATTTCCAAACGCCGCAATTACATTGGATTCGGTCGTTCTCAAACCGGTGCCGCCATATTTTGCACAACCCTCCGCAGAGTTCGCACGCCTTTCGTAAAAATACTTGTCACCGTTCAGTGATTATATGCCACGTGTTGTGATCTCAGCGTTACCCCTAAACTGTATGCTCGCAACGCTGTGCTCGGTGAATGTAAATTGTTCAGGGTCAGTACAGCGGTGTTGGATTTCACGTATGTTCAAAAGGTTATTCGCGCAACGCCTTTTTTGACAAACCACGGAGTCAGTAATAGGTGGGATGTAAGATTTGGCCGCTGAAGAGCGTCATTGCACATTTTTGGGTACTATCAGAGGCCGGTGGAGCCGAGGGCATCGAACCTCGAGGCATTGCAACGCCGCGCAATCGCATTTCTGTTTGACCATATATGGTATAGCGAGCGTGCGGCCGGCTGTCACATACATTTCGTGTCTATTTCGGGGTGACTAGAGCCGCTACTGGTTTTCGGGTGCGCCACCGTTGCAAAAACTAGAATAATGAGGTATTTTCGGGTATTGCTCTATCAACGGCAATGTCAAGGTCAACCGTTTTTATTTAACTATAGTATTGCACCTCTAGTAAACTCAAATACTGATTGATCACACATTATCATATCCCTTACAGCATCGTAATAAAGACTAATTTTGATGCTACATTCTATAAATTATTTCTTATCAGAAATATTATCTTTTTAATCATTTTACATTCGTACCTACCCGGCCCTACCTTCATTATGAGAAATGTTAAAATATTGCAATTGATTTTTTTATATTTCATATCTCTCAATGTAGGGTGTTCTCTACCTTTATGTGAAAATGTGATTGTAGATAATAACACTGCCAATAATTTATTACAAGATTGTAGGTAATGTTGTTAGTCACACTTACACCTAGCTATGATTAATTAACAAAACATCCTGGATCAATAAATACAGCATAGTTGACTCATAAATTTATGCTTTTTTATATACATGAATAAACGGAATCTTATAATGCATTTACCTACATGTGTTGTCTTATAAGATTAATATTTAAATAAATAAGACAATTCAACAACACATTCAAGCAAAGCAAATATATAATCTTTAACTTGAATCATCAATAAATTATATTATATTTTAATTTAACCACTGCTTGATATAAATTTATATCAAACTAGCTGACTTTGTGAACTTCATACCATTTTTGTTCTGTTCAATTTGTTTCATAACCTAACCTGACTATAACAAACAAAAATTAAAGGATTCACTTTTTTTGGAACTTATGTGCATACATACATTTTAGCTTTACATTTTATTTATATTAGAAAGATTATTACTTTAGATTTTTCTAAAAAAAACTGCTTTGCTAATATATTTTATATCAGTTAAGGGCAGGATTACAAAAGACACTGCTTTAGGTCCAAGCTGATAATTAATCGATCTATAAATTCTATTTATGTTGCTGTTAATACCAAACATCATTACAAAAATATATATAATATTATTATCTCTGTTCAACAGATATATAGGGCCACATATGCAATGTGCAAATAGTATTTGTGAATCGCAAGTGTCTAAGCTATGGTGGCATCTTACCATCAGGCAAGACATTTCCTTTTAAGCTACACTTTTTTCAAAAGTATGGGATGTTTAAAGGTTGATTGGTAGATAATGCTTTTAGCGTTAAGTCTACCTTTTGTCCATTTTTGTAATAAAATTAATATGAGTACAATTAAATTAAAAATCTTGATATAATGAAACCATATAAGTAGTGTGAAAAGTTTAGTAGAGTAAAATCATTTCATAATTCCAATTCTGATTGATTTATTTACTTATATCTTCACACATACTAAAAATTACCTTCATCTCTATCTTTAACCAAGAGCCTACCAAAAAGATAATTGAGCATCACAAAATTAATCTGATATTTAATGAAATACCAGTATACTTATACTGGCCTTCACCTCAGCAAAACCACATACAAAACTGTGCCGTAGACATTTTGGTATATGTAAAATTGCTAGTGTGCAGGCTTCGTTTTCTTTGGTTGCTGTTCAAGAACTTGGCCAGTCTGTACACCTATTTGTATTATCTTTGAACATCATAGATCAGTTCTAGGAATGAAATAAACTTGAGCTGGAAGAAAATTTTGCTCTTTGCGAAGTGTAGGTTTGATGACAGCCTGATGAACGAGCAGAGTTTCATTTTAAATAGGTACTAATTCAAAATATATATGTGTAATTCCTTAAATTAAAAAGCTATCGTTCAAATGGAGGGAAAATAAATAGTTTTGGCTTCTTTTCTTTATTAAAATATCACAATTATCCTTATAGTTTTACTGTTAATTGAGTGTTTAGTCTATGCGCATAACTCTTGCATAATTTACCTACTCAAACCAAATACACTTCCATACTTTATAAATAAGTATTACATACTAACATTTATTACATAATAAAAAATAATCATTCTTCATGATATTTTCCTCTAGCATTTAATAGAGTATTTGACAGTATTAAAAATAAAGTGCCAATTGTTAGCATCTGTATTTAGAATGAATATTGGCAGGGGTTTTTACTAAAAACCCACGAAAAAGATAATAGTTTTCTTATCTATTGTCACGTGACTCAAAACGCTTAGGATTGGCGGAGCTTTAAATGACGTCACACGCAAGTAAAGTTCCTGTTAAAGTGACATTATGTTGTATCGTTTGACGTTTTTAATAACAGTCGTGTAACGTCACACACTAGTAAGACGCCATATTGTCCCGAGAAACGTTTTCGCGGCAAATTGAAAATGGAGTTTTTGATTTTGTTATTTTTACTGAAATGCACAACAGAATGATGAATATCCACTCTGGACGGATTCCATAAACATTAGTCAATAACGTGAAATCGTTTTCTAAAACTTGTCAAATACCCTATTAAGTAGTGAATCCTTATTGGATAATAAAGTTAAACTATGTAGGTATGTGACTGTTTGATGACCTTTGATACCACATAATTTGTTTGTATATCAAAGTTTATACTTTTTGCTAGTTAATAGGTACATTGTTGTCAGGTTTCAAATGTATCCACTGATATGGTCTCGATTATACTCACTAAGACTGCCATTTCCCTCGTAATCTTTTAATTCTTCCCTTTTTTAACAATTTTGTGACTGCCAAAAATTCTTCAAATAAATATACAATAGTTAGGCTGAGACTGCTGTCGACTGCAGTGTCGCTTGCGGTCGGGGTTGCTTTTCCAAGCACGGCAACACGCTGCGACTGTACAATGCATAGAATCATGCCTGAGTCACTCCAGTCTGCAGCTGCACTGCGGTCGTGACGCGCCGCGCATGCAGGCCGCAGTGTCGCCGCGTTCGGAATCAATTCATAGACATTTATAGAAACTATTGTCTCTGCAGTTTGCGGTCTGCAACCCGTCTCGGAATGGCACCGCTATACAGCTTATCATTTTGCCCCCCTCAAGTACAAGAAATTTTCAAATAAACTGTCTATATGGTGATTCATTTTTGTAGTAGGTATTCGGTATTACTACTTCTTAATTCCTAATAAGAAACATTTCAGTCAAATTCTACTAAGGTAATGGATCTAAATAGTGTCAACAAACAGATGACTTAAGGACAAGGCGACGCTTTTAATGTTTGCCATGTATGTATAAAACTGTTAGCGAGCCAAACTGAATGAATACCCTTACAATTCATTACTGATTCGTCACCATCCACCAACACTGTCCATACCTGACTCAGAGACGCTCAGAGTGACGCATAGGAGCCGTACGGCGTCGGTCATTCACCCCTCATCCCTCGCCATCTCGCCAAACGGAAGAGGTTTGATCGTTAATGAGATGCAGCTTGTAGCTATTGCTACCCTCAATTCACCCTTTCATTGTCCGTTCTACAATTTAATTTACAAATACTGCTATTTAAACCTCATTACGCTGGTTAAATTGGGAAAATTATGTCGTCATCGCGGTATTTTCTAGCGCTTATCAAAGTAAAAGGCGTGTCAATGTCGTCTGCCTTGTTATTAAACTGACAAACTTGAATAAATACGAATTTCAATGAAATTATACTTGCTTACCAGTTACATAAAAATTAGTTTTATACAGAAAATTATTGCTCTCTACATTATTTTCATCCTCCTGTAAATTTTATTTTAGACTTTACTAACTCTTGTCTGATAATCTGAAACTCGAGCACAAAATTTGACAGCTCCATTATCGTATCGATAATTTTGTTAACGTCCAGTAGCTGCTTGGTTTTCATAGAAACTTGATTGAGGATCTAACAAAATTCTTGCTTGAGCCTCTGGTCGTCATTGTACTCTATGGACCGAATATTGATCGGTAAAAGACGCAGAAGTACAATATTCCAAAACAAGAAATAAATAAGCGACAGAAAACACTACAATAAAGTCAAGACTAAATGGAATTTGAATGCTCATTCGTCGGCTAGCATCCGCATGGTGTTCTAGTAAATATCTAGATCCATTATTGTCACCGGAAATAGGACACAGCACAGTAAGCTAATAAATACGCTATTTTGATTCATCTTTCAAATCGACTAGCGACAATGTTTTCCTGCTACCTACATGAGTCACAATAACTTAGCCTCAACTTGTTTCCTATACAGTCGATAGATTTGCGGCTAATGAATGTTTGTATAGTATACAATTTATAGCTTCAGAAATGTTAACAATATCTCTCGGGCTGCTGACGGTAACCTTGTTTATCAGTGGCACTGGAAATACGAACGATTTCCTGTTACAAAACATTGTTATACGGAGCCGGTCTCGAAGTATTTTTCATTTAGATTCTTTACAACTGTATACCTACATAGCTTCACATTAATAGTAGTATAAATCCTATGCTGGGGCCACACTATCGCGATAACGCGAAGATGTTTTCACG